TGCAATTTAGGGGGTTTTGTTTTGTTTTTAAGATATTGCTAATTTGCGAAATGATTGCAGCACGTGGTTAACCAATGGATAAACTGAAAAATGCTGTTTTCAATGTGATTTGGTCGTGCGACTATCTCATGATAAACCACGCAAGCAACACATTTACGTGATGACGGTGACCGCGAGCTTAGACTGCACGTGACTGAACCAAGTAGGGGATTAACGAACTTTTCTTCTATGAAAGAATAAAATTGCAAAAAATGCGTTAGCCTAAAAAGAGCGAGTTAACGTTACAAGCTCGCGATCGTTTATCCGGCCGACCATGTTTGATGTAGGGTTAGAGCGGTAGGGGGGGGGGGAGGGGGGCGGGGAAAGGGCTCACCCCCTTCCCAGAGTCCCTTCCCCTTTCTTTGACCGTCACTCACCCCTTAGTTTGAATCGAGTTGACGGCAAGGCTAAGCCAGCATTTTTTCGCCTAAATGCTCGCTTGTTCAACTCGCTAGTCCTCGTGGAGCCCATTACGCTGGGAAGCTGACCAACTGTATTCTTCAAACTGTTCGTCTTAGGCTATGTTACACTTGGCATAGGAAAAATGAATCCATAAAAGCCGGCGATACGTAAGAGTATCACCATAACTAAAATAAATGGTCTGGGGAAAGTATTCGTTGAAAGATTAAAGCTCCGATGGCAAAATGTCTCAAATGCCAGGCGACTTACTGGCTAAGGGCTAGTAAGCTCTATGTCAACGGGTTATAAGTAAGTAAGTGAGTAAGTAACTTTGTAAGGAAGACCGCATTCACGTAAGACCTCACCAACCGTGCCCGTCACTATAAATTTCGCATGCCGGAGTTGGTTCGGAAGCTGAGGGTCGCTGGTTCGATACCTCTAGGTGAAGTGATAGGATTTTCATTGCACTTCGAAAGGTTTTTCCCCTCTTTTTTTCCTTTCTTCTACCAAATGTTATGATAAGCAAGGTTCAAATATGACGCGATAGTGCAATTTCGGATAATAGGCCTCAAATCGCGTCAGATAGCTGCCAGAAGTCGGATGTCAGTCAAATGGTCGCAAGATATAGAAAGATGTATGTTTAATTATATGAAAAATTGTTAGAATTTTGTCAAATGCGAACATTCCGATTGAAAAATAGCCACTTTTACAATCAATGTGGCGTTTACGAAGCAGTCTGCGAACTGTCCACGAACCAATGTTACTCGATGTACTGTTCATTACCGCTAAACTCATCTCCTTTCAGAGGACCATTTTTTTTTTGTCATGACCGTATGACATCGACTAGAAAGTAAACATTGGGTAGTCGTCGTAGGTGAATTGCTTAAATTGATTAAATCTGATTCAATCAAACTGAGGCATCTGCGGAATTAAATCTGGCACTCTAAAAGCGAATTATTCGTGAATTTGGTAGAATTGTGTAGGAGGAAAAAAAAGCCATAACAGAGGGGGACTGGCCAGAGAAAACATTTCCTTTTAACGTCATCTGCCTGAGCAATGCAAAATACAAAACAAGGAAAACGGAAAAGTTTGCATTTCGCTTGTAATTTCGATTGTTTTTTTTGCAATAACACTAACCATCATTCGAGCTTTCCCGATTATTGCAGCTAATGGCTGATAATAGCTTCATTTTCTAGGATTTTAAAAACAGCAAAAGCTGTTCGCAACGACATTTTCCTTTGTGCCGACGACACATTTTGAATTTGACAGTCTGCATTCTCAAATAAATGAAATAAATTTCAAGTATTTTCTCCTGTAGTTGATAAGAAATAATGAACTGATCGGCGCAGGAGAGCTGCGACTGAAGAAATTGGCCAAAAAAAACCCGAAAATGTCCAGTCTTCGACAGGTTTCGACCCTGTGCTTCTAAGTGCCATTGTCAAACGAGCTTCGAAAGCACATGTCTTGTGCAAATTTTTGTTGTTTGCCTGATACTCGATGAGGAATATGACCACAAATGAAATAAGATAAATCATATGCTGACCTGTGGATAATATCAAGTCACGAACGTATCCACATAGGCAATTTGCGATTGAAGTAATTGCAATCGGATTAAACAACTGAATTGTTGACTGCTTTGCAAAAAGGTTCACTCTTCACATTTTAATGCTGCCTGCATGTACCCGCGCAGAAATCGTGGAAATATATCTTCGATCCTGACTTTTTTTATTTAAATACTGAGGGTTGAATTGGCTTAACACTGAGCTCGCCACCAAAGCCCTTTTGATAAATTTCCTGCAAGTTCCACAAAAAGTGGGCCCAATAGCCATTTTCAATGTCTTTGTTTTGCGGAGGCCACAAGAAAAGTTATAGCCGTACATTTTTAGTGCCCAGGTAGAGTAGACATGGTAAGTTCAAAGCCCCAAATGCAAAGTCGTATGTATCTTATACCATTTTTTTGCATTTGGAGCTCAAAACCCCCTAAAAGTACTTTTTTTCAGTGTCCACGATGGAACGGTAGAACAAACATCTTGATTATAAACCTCTGAATGATCCCCGGGTAAACATTCGATATGTGTAAACCGTCCAATAGTAAATGAACTTAAAATAAATTTTGATGTTTCATAGTGCACTGCATTAGTCCGATTTTAGTAGTCACAGAATTGATGTCCACAAATTCTTTGTAACTTCCGTTACCGAAATAAGAAAAGTAATTTAACTGCGTTAGAAATCCCTGTATAATCTCTTCTTACCGTCAATTACTTATTGTTTCATCGCAGTTTCAATATTTTAAGTCATCACCTCCTTTTCTACAAGTGGCAATGATAGACTTCCCTTTGAATGAGGCCGAAGAGCACCGTATGGTTAAGAATGTAACTTCCGTTACCAGTGTTTAGCGAAAACAAAAGTTCCTTTGCTTCAAAATGTTCTGTGCAAGTACGAAGGTACCTACAATCAGTAAGCTCACAGACTTATATTAACTGGCTTGTGTCTTGGAAAGAAGTGGAGGCACAAAAGATCTCAAACTGTAACTTCCGTTACTGTAACTTCCGTTACCATTTATTTTGGAATATCTTAAATACGCGTCCTTTGGTTGAGTTGCACTTTGGAACATCATCTGGCTGTCTAAAGTCGCGGCAAAATAAACATGACTGACATTATTGACATTCCAGTGTTACGCAACAACCCCTCCGTTGCCGTATTGCGACACATTCGCCAAGACCGAAGCGTTTGTTACAAATTTCTCAATTTTTCATTGTCAGTCGTTCATCGAAATTGACAAAATCCAAAGGTGAGTAGTATCAATATGATGTACATACAAAATTTATTTGCATTGACGTTTTCTTTTGGCTAAAAGCCTCGTTTTCTGTCAGACAGTAAAAATGTAACGGAAGTTACAAAAACTGGAAGTGGCTTGTTAGGGCCTTAAAACGGGTTTTGGAGTCACAAGAATGAAAATTTTGAACATCAGAGTAGAATATATCGTAAAAATAATCATATCTAAATGTTTAAGCTGTAGGCGTTTAGAGATATTTATGAATAAACCAATTTTAAACGGCGTATTTAAATAATAAAACTGAATCGTTGCGTGACATAATTGGACCTAACATGCCAAAAAGTTTAAACTGCCCTTAAGAAGCGAAGACTGGACCAAAAAGCCCGGGTGGAAAAATACCGGAAAGAACAGTGTGCCATCGAAAGAGCAGCAGAAGCTTCATACTCAAAAACGTCAAACCCGGCGTATTTAAATAATAAAACTGAATTTGCGTGACATAATTGGACCTACTCTTCACAATCAGCTTCAGGTGGCCAACTAGCCCAGATGAAATATGGGTGGACTTTGACAAGATTCTGGGAGTCATTGAAGAGCCAAGATTCTCGTCTCGTGGAAGGTCAAATCGCCACTTCCATTTTAATGATCAGACAATCCAAATGATCACAGATCTATTTGATGGCTGGCTATCAACCAATCAGTAATTTGTAACTACCGTTACTGGTAGTCAATCAATTAAACAGATAGCTTTTTAAGTATTAGTCATGTTTTTCTTTTAAAACTATTTTGATTCATGTATTCATATCTTCAATGAAAGGTTTTTTTTAACAAGAAAGGGTTTTACGTACTGTGTTGACATAAAATATTTGTTTGATATGCAAATGTCGTAATTTAGAAGATTTAATGATGTAATTTTTTTTAGAAGATTGTTTAATTGTAACGTTTATTGAAAGGAAGGCGATTAGTTTTATGTTTTCCTTCGTGAAAATTCGTGCCATATGGCAGCTAAGGTATTAAACAAGTTTCAGGTCATAGCTTACTCATTTGTAACTTCCGTTACTTTTTTTGTAACTTCCGTTACCAAGCTTATGATTAAAATTTCAAGAAAAGGTCTATACGTACGTCCTAACAGACTTGAAGAATATAATGGCATGGTCTTAGCTTCTGTAAAAGAACGTAGTTGTTCTTTCTTCTTCCTCTGAAGAAGAATATAGTATAATTATAAAAAAACTTATTTTAAAAAGAAACAATTTCAGACGGTTTAAATTATTTTTAGATCTCTATATTTTCTTCTTTGTAGGAGCAGAGCACTTTAATAGTATGATTTTTATTTACATGTTGCCCTGTATTAAGTATATACTACGTTGATTTTGAATAACTTAAAAACGAGAACTTAAAAAAGTGGAAAATTATTTTAAAGATCGGTGATTTTTTTGCCTAAAGTGATTTTCAAGTAAGTACAATAAAATGTTTCATAACTACGGAAATATATGACCTTTGGTGCTAATTTTTGAGGTATTTACTCTTCGATATTTGCGCTTTAAATTGAATGATTCGCCACGTACTTTCTGTGAAACTGATTTTTTTCGATTTTCCAAGTGACATTGGGCCCACTTTTTGTGGAAATCTCGATTGTTCTGTATTTCCTAAACGTTTCCCAAGAAAGCTATTTATAATATTAAAGATCGCAGCAATGGTTTTGAAGTGTTAGAATTTTCTGTCTCCATAAGAAGAGAAGTGACTCCGGAAGCTCAAATTCGAAGTCACATCAAATGCTTTGTTTCCGTGA